AGAAATGCACTTTGCACACTCATAATGAGTCTATGAGTTCGTTAATAGTTTCCACCTTATATAATGCAGGAAATCATGAATCAGAGAATTCAGCAAGGAAGTCCAGAGCCACACAAATGGAGGTGAGATCCAAATCAGGCTCTCCGACTCCTGAGCCCAAGATCTTATACTCGTTACTTATAGACTCACTGAGTCCAAAAAGTGGAATTAGCTCACTTTGACACCGGCTTAATTATTTTAATTATACGGCCATCTGAAGAATATAGTTTATCACAAATATATAATATATATATATATATATATATATATGCTTTTTCATCCTTTTGGAAATGGTAAAATTTAGTTTAATTTACTGAACTTTTACTTTTCAAATATCTATTATTGTTGCTGTGTTACAGTGAACCGTATCACTTCTTTTTCAAGATAAAAGATAACCACCTTCTTGACTATAATAACATAAAAAAACTCAGTGATAAATTATATGTAGTAATGATTTAAAGTAATGGTGTGCTTAGGTGTTTGATATTTCACAAACCCCAAAATGTGAACATTATTTTGAGTATCAAATTTGAATTCATTCCGGTGAGAGGTTGTTAATTCAAGCCTTTATTTTGGAAAGGTGAAGATGAATTCATTTGGAGGCTATTTTTTGGTAATTAAAAAGTGTTTTTCTTTTTAACAAAAAAAACCCAGACCTTTATGTTGTTTTAATTACTACTGCAGTTGATAAAAATTCCATGATGTCCCCCTGTGTCCACCATTTTCTCTCTTTAAAATTCACTTTAGGTAGCTGAGGTCCTTTTGGTTTCTTTCACTAGTAGTGGGTCCTGCATTAGAAAACCACCAACTTATTGTAGCCTTTAATAATTACAAAAAGATAACTTTGTCATTATTGACTTCAATCTTATAAAACAGTGAAATCAAGTATAGAACATTTTAAGTAAATTGCTTTTATAAGATTTTTATCTTCAAAATTGACTGTGACTCCATGGTTTGTTGTGATTAATTAAACCACGTTAGATTGAACTTTTCGTCGAATCAACTAAACTTGGTGAATTTATTTTGTTCCAAATTTGAACAAAAGTTTGTTATTATTGGCATAAACTAGATTTTAGGGACAGTAATAAAGACTGGTAAAAGTACTAAACAAGGAAGTATACTATTGTAGCTTTTCAATGTTAGAAATTGAAAGTACCTAAACAAACCAAAAGCAAGTAAACAAACACACAAAAGAAACAAAAGGAAAGAGCTAAATTCAAAGGTATGTAAACAAGCAGTACAATGTACCAGAAAGAACACTAGGTCAAAGTCAGGGGACAGAAGTTCCTATCTCAGCTTTGGAAATGCTTGTGTGGATTTACCTAAGTCTCCCCAGAGCCTTAGTGTCCTTTATGTAAATGGAGTTGATTGGGTCAAAACAGTGGATGGCTTTCTAACAGTTCTGTAGGAAATACTACTAGAAGAGACAATGTAAAGTTCAATTTGGAGTAGGGAGAGTGTTCTCTCTGAAAACCTCTCTATCTATATCTATCTTATATCTATCTATCTATCTATCTATCTATCTATCTATCTATCTCCATCTAGTCCTCTCTAAACAATCACTGAGACAGACTGGCCTGTTCTAATATTATATGATTTAGGATACTCAGTGTAGCGAAATTCACATATCTGGAACAACGTGTAGAACAAAAGGTTGTGATAGTGAAAATGATTCATTAGTCAACAAGTATTTATTAGGTCTCCTACATGATAGAAAACTGGCCTAAAGAAATAGAAACTTGAAGAATAAGTTCTGAATTGGCATTAGGAGACCCAGAATCCAGCTGGGTCCAACACACACCAGCCATGCCACCTAAGGCAACTCAAATTTCTAGAATTAGATAATTCATAATCTGATTCTCCGAACATACATCTTGCCAAATTTTGCTCTGGATTCTAACTGCCCAGTTGGTACTTTCTCTTTTCACAGAACCCTGAGCACACTCATGCTTACTTCTGTAACGTAACTCTGACAATGCTACCTGCCTATTTTAGATTTAATTGTGCGATGCTTTTAGGTTTTACATTTCTGGGAGCTCTTTTTCAGAATATTTTCTTCTCCTGACTTGTGTTTGCTGTGCTGTACTATCGTCAAAACTTCATTTCTTTATTTTCAGTGTGGGGATCTCTGAGCTCCTTACAAATGTAATTTTGGGAGTGTTTGCACCCGCTAGCACTTTTGCATAAGTTATTTCAACAAATCATTCTCCATGGCAGGTAGGATTGAGCATGATGGGATGGAGTCCCAGATTGCCTAACTATGATAAAGAGAGGAAAAGGAAAAAAAAAAAAGTCTGACAAGTGAATGGCCACAGATAGGGAAGACGGGAAACTACCAAATACATCTACAACACAGATTCCCTGATGTTCACAGAGGAATTGAAGTTTCTGTCCTCAAGAAGCTTAAAAATTTTTAAAAAGACAAAGCATGGGGGCCGACCCCGTGGCTGAGTGGTTAAGTTCGCATGCTCTGCTTCGGGGGCCCAGGGTTTCACCAGCTGGGATCCTGGGCCCAGACATGGCACCACTCATCAGGCTATGCTGAAGCGGCATCCCACATGCCACAACTAGAAGGACCCACAACTAAAATATACAACTATGTACTGGGGGGCTTTGGGGAGAAAAAGGAAAAAATAAAATCTTAAAAAGACAAAGCATGGACAAAATGGGACTCTTAAATGATTATACAAGTATGTAGCAGTTCACTCTTGAAGTTAGTGGATCATAGAGTACTATGAGGGTTCAAGCTGTGGAGTCATCTTTGCTGGATAATTTGTATATCCGTGGACACCCAAATGTAAAATCAAAAAGATTGCACTGAGCCGACATCATTTTCACATCCTGATTTTTATGAGAAATTATGATAAAATATCAAAATCGCAAATATTCCTATTCCAATTAACAGGATGGAACAACTCACATGGGAAAGATAGCGATGTCAGTCAATGCGTGGGAATGCATCATGGAGTTTAGGTCTCAAAGACAGATAGAAAAAGTGAGTTACCCTAATTCAGGTCGATGGCAGCGGCAGGTCCTGACCTGGCTAGTGGTCCTAGATTTAATCCACTCTCATTTCTGCAGCTTCTGTTAGTTTGTTTTTAATAAAAATGATCACCTCTTACACATTTATATTCAAATAGAGACTCAGCAGTCAATAAATGCACCTATTCATTCAGTCGAGGAAAGCAATCCAATTTTCCCAGTGTATGCACATATGTTTGTGGTTTGCTAATATTTTTAAAAATCTTTTTAAGAAATACATATGCTATAGCTTCCAGAGTGGAAAATTTTACACAATTCTATAGTGAGGAAGTTTAATTGTAGCCCTTTTACTAATGTTTTTGGAGAAAATATATTTAAAAAAATTTAGATACTGCCTTAGCACCTAGGAACACAAATAAATAAATAAATACTGAATTTAAATCTGTCTCTTCCAGGCTTTTCCAAACAAGAATGTCAGGTCACCAGCTCTTTCTGTGCCTCATCTCGGGCTGTGTTAATTCTCCATAAATACATCCTAGAAAACAGCAAGGCCATACGCCAGTTATGACCTTGCAAATACGCGCCACTTCTCTGCATGCTAGAATATATTTAAAACAGTTTATATTTTCCCTCTGTGTCTCGGTTTTCACAGTTAATAAGGCAGGCATTTCCATGGCTGACTTGCTGTGTTCATGGGTAGTAAATATTCTGATTAGTATTCCAGATACCAAGTTTACCGAAGTTTCTCCAGAATAGAAGGTGCGATAGGCATTAAAGATTTTGCTTCTTGCTGTCTATATTGAAAACATCAGAATGATACTACTTGTATTGTTAAACATGTTATGATTGCTCTGGTAGCTGATGTTTCTAAGGAAATGTCCTTTGAACCAGAGTGTCTTGCGGGATTTTCATGTTAAGTAGAAGCTGGTGGGATTAAAAAAATAATCTCCTAGCATTAATCTCATATTCAAAACTGTAAAGTAAAACCTTGCCTGGCACTGGAGAGAAGCAGGAGATTCATAACATTGACTTAATGTTATGAGTTTCAGTTCTTATGATCTGAATTTCTTTGCTATTCTATCTTACACAGCCAACCTTTTAAAACTCCCACTGAGTGGAAAATAGTTGAAGGTAATGTTGTGTAAGCTGCTGGTAACTTTTTTCAATTATTCTTGTGAAATTAACAGAATCAGTGGAATTTTAGTACAAAATCTACTTAACTTCCTAACTTCTGCTTTCCCAGGGAAAATTGACCCAGTGTTTCCAAAAAGCAAAGCTCCGCCATTTTCCCACACCATTTCTTCATTTTGATTCATCCTTAGTCTTATGGTATTAAGGATGGCACCACAGTAAGTAAGATCAATAAAATTCAGTGAAGCGATCGGAAGGAAAATATAGCTACCACCTAGGGGACGGTGATCGAAATGGACATGTCCAGAGGAAAAAATAATACCACAATGGGTGGGTCACATGAATTTCTGTGACAACTTCTCAAGATCAGCCAAAAACAATGAAATTAGTTTTTTATTCTAAGTATTATATTCTGCTTAAAAATATGGGATAATTTCACTGTTACACGGGCTTAAAAGTTTATTTGTGAGCCAACAAATTTTATTGTTGATTAGTTTAACTCTTATGTTTTGAGTTGAAAGCACTGTAAACTCCAGTTTGAGAGCACCTGTAACTAAAAGATTATCTGGAAGCTACGCTGACATCCTGTATGCCACTTGAACTATTTGTCAGATCTGATGAAGTTTTTCCCCATTGAGAATTTTCCAGAAAGATACTTATTTAATACAGTCTGCCATACAATGCCTAGCTTATTGGACAGCTAACACCTCCCAGTTATTGTTTAACCATGGGTGCTGGCTTCAGCAATCTTCATGGGTGTTGTTCTGTCTGGATTCTTATCTCAGGCTGGGTTATAGTTGGAAGACTCTAAAACTTCTGGAGAACTACTTACGCAGGACCTTCTCATCACTATAATTTTAGTTTAGATCCAGAGCAGAGAATCAACATGACATTATCTTCTTTTTCCAGAAGTGCAAGAAGTTGAAGAGAAGATAAATTACCATGAAGAAGAAAAGGCACCTTTTATCCTCTTTTTTTGGTGAGAACATTTCAGTTTTACTCTCTTAGCAAATTTTAGTTATACGATAAGGTATTGTCAACTATAGTCACCATGCTTTACATCAGATCCTCAGACCTTGTTCTTCTAACTGAAAGTATGTACCCTTTCATCATCCTCTCCACATATCACCACTCCCCCGCCCCTGGCAACCACCATTCTACCCTCTGTTTCTGTGACTTCAACTTTCTTTTCTTTATATTCCACACTTAAGTAATACTGTGAAGTATTTGTCATTCTCTGTCTGGTTTGGCTTATTTCACTTAGCATAATGCCTTCCAATCTCATCTCTGTTGTCACAAATGGCAGAATTTCCTCCTCTTTTTAAGGAAATGCACATTTTTAAAAAGATATGCATCAGTTGGGATGCAATGGCCCAGTGTGCCTTCAAAAAATAAGTACTCTGTTCTCATAGGCAGAATCAGGGCCATTACCTAAGAATTTGTCTTCTTATGCTACACTAAAGAGGAAAGAAATAAAGATAGAAAGGAAGGAAGCAAGGAAGGAAGGAAAGAGAGAAGGAGAAAGGGAGGAAAAAAAGATGAAGAAAAAACATCCCAGAAGAAAGAAAGACAGAGAATAAGCTATTTTGGGGTCTGCCCTTTGGCGTTGTGATTAAGTCGTGTGCTCTGCTTTGGCAGCCGAGGGTTCATGGGATGGATCCCAGGCACAGACCTACATCAACCCACACTGTGGCAGTGTCCCACATGTAAAATAAAGGGAAGATGGACACAGATGTTAGCTCAGGGCCAATCTTCCTCACCAGAAAAAAAAAAAAAAGAAGCAGCTATTTTTCTGAAAGTTGTCCAAGTAGGTAAATTATAAAAGCAAAATGAAAGTCCAGATCTAGTTATATTTACATAAATTAGCATTTATTGTCCGTTCATTTGTTTGTTCTGTCATTCACTCATTCCGCCAGGCATGTGGAGAGAGCTTATGAGAAGGTGAGAGAAAAGACCCCTGCCATATAAGACAATGGTCTGAAACCACAGAAGAGAGCCTATCGTTAGCAGGCTTGGGAATATTTGACTCTCAGCAAAATGACCTCCACGAAGTGCCATCCACTATCTATTATCTGTACAGCTCTCCTGATGTTTCAGGGACTAATAGATTACGCCTGCTGTATTTAATATTTATAAATTGGTAAATGTCTCAGGCTTTGGACTACAAGCCATACAAGATAGGGCAAAGTATGAAAGAGGGTAGTCAGATTGAGAGAGAAAAGCAAAGAGAGAAACAGAGTCTCAACAGAGCTGTGGTTATTTTCTGTAAGCAACTGGCTCTCAGAAACAACTGACATCCTTAGTCAGATGCTGAGCATGTGACGTGGAAAGGCCCTGGCTGGCACCCTTCACAGAGCCTCGTGCGCCTCCACCGCGCAGGTGTTCTGGCTCCGGAGGCCTGCCAGCCAGCAATCTGATTCTCTGAAGGGATTATGCACAGTTGCCTCTTAGTTAAAACAGGACACTTATGCAAACACAGGATCCACTGTTGTGAATTTGAGTTGTTCTCATTACCTCCCATCCTCTGGTTTGGAAATGAGAGAAGCAGACGTAGGCAGTGCAAGCTTTATGATTCTTGTTTTTCTACTCGTTAAAATTGGCACCCACAGTTTCTATATAGTGACTACGCAACTCTGAAATGATGCATGAAATGTGAAAAAATGGAAACAATTTTTTTCTGAATGCACAGAAATTACAAATGATTCACGCAACAAATGGTGGTAAGTCTCCACTTAGCTTGGGTTAAGAGTTAAGCTGGCAGTGGTGGGTCATCCCAATAAACAGTGGACTGAGTCAAAGGCCAATAGGGACTTATGTCTATCTCCTTCTTTGATGCCACCTAATATGAACCTTCTCCTGCCGGTCTCTTCTTCCAACCCCATCTACCAGTTTTTATGTATCTATCACCTACATTGCTTCCTGACTTTTTGCTTTTACTTTTGCTGTCTGCCCTCTCCAAATATTAAGTCTTTTACTTGTGTGCACTCTTTTCTCCTTTCTATCTTTTTGCTCTCAGGTTCCTTACACTCAGCGGCTGCTCAGGAAGCATGTTGAAGGGAGGCAGAGTGGGAAGGTGGTCATGGAACTTAAATATTTCTTAAAAATATAGACATACCCAGGAGGCAAAGCCACCAAGTATTACCTATCTGTAGGTGCGAGTTCATGTATTCTAAAGAAAGAAAAACTATGCCAGGTCACCATAGTTATGACCATCAACCCATTGTCTGCTGGGCCATACTTGGGAAAGATCACTTTCCTACGCATTCCAGTCTCGCATGTGTGTACCCATAAAGGAGGACCAAGGTTACTCCCAGCTGTCTGTCTTTATCTCCATCTCTCTCTCTCCCACTCAAAAAAAGAGATCAAAATGCAAGAGTGGGAGTTGTATTAGAAGTATAACTTCGAAATTGATTTAAAATAAAATAGGAATTCACACTGCATTTTAAAGGCTATATTTCTCGGTAATTCTGCTGCTTCGATGTATAAATTAGGCTGAGGAAATTGGTTCAAATCCCCATCGCTTCTCTTTGTGAATCATTACTTGATTTTTAATAATTGCTGGGTTTTCCAGGAAAAGTACGGAACTTAACATCAGGATACTGGCAAAGAGTTCTGGCTGTGGCACCAACAGTTGTATGAACTGTCGAAGTTACTTAACCTTTCTAACCTCGTTTTCTTTTTTTTATATGGTAAAAGTGGTACAAATCCCTTTTGAGAATTTTGTGAATCAAATGAGATGGAGTATGTTCAAGACCTTAAAATTAAGCAACTGTGCACAGAGAAGGTTATTATCTGCTCTGTAATGCTAGCCCCTACTTCAATTTCAGATGGCTAAACTGTAGGAATATTGTTTTAACTTCTTCAACATTCATCATATTGACACATAACCAAGTATTTTCAAAGTGAGAATCTAAAATCAATGTAAAGGATCCATTGCACTCTGGATAGGAGCAGGAACTCTGCAGCACGTCTGAGTTTGGATCCCAGCCTTGCTATTTTTTTTTTTTTTTAAGATTTAAGGCTTGCTTTTTTTTTTGGTGAGGAAGATTGGCCCTGAGCAAACATCTGTTGTCAATCTTCCTCTTTTGTTTTTTTCTCCCCAAAGTCCCAGTACGTAGTTATATGCTCTAGTTGTAGGTCCTTCTAGTTCTTCTATGTGGGACTCCCCAACAGCATGGCTTGATGAGCGGTGTGTAGGTCCACGCCCAGGACCCAAACTGGTGAATCCTGGGCCGCCGAAGTGGAGCATGTGAACTTAACCACTACACCACCGGACCTGCCCCCCAGCCTTGCTATTTGACTTTGTTTCCCCATTTGGAAAATGTGCGTAATAAAACTGTCTACACCAGGGGATTGATATGGGGATTTTGTGATGCAGAATGGTGCTTGGCACATGTGATGTGCTCCATAAGCATTTGCTGAAATAAATAAGCTAAAATAAAATGCGCTCAACGCTTTTATTACCACGACTGTTCTCATTAGTATCCTAATCAAGCATGTAAGGCTATAAATATCATTTGATCTTAGAACTTTTTCACAGAGATCAGCAGTGCAAGTTTCTTATGGTTCCAATAAGATATTTGAATTCCTTCTATTCTGGCCTTCTCGTCCCCAACAAACCACTTCCCGTGATTCATTTTTATTGGCAATCAAACATGTACCGCTCTAATGGCATGTAGAATTTAATCAATTAATGGAGTTCAGCAGGCTATTTTCAGTTGCTGTGTCTTGAGAGGTTAATTTTGCAAACACATGAATACTTTGGAAGATTATGGAGTATCCTGAAGGTATAGCACATGCTTAATCTCAGGGGACGAAACAGAGAACGATCAATACCTCAGTGTAATCTTTTCTCTACCAAATGTCCTCGGACAAGATGTTAATTCCCTACTGATTCAGTATGTTTATTTTAAATTTACATTTCCAGGTTGTTTTCAAAAATAATTTTGCAGAACCATGATTCATGTCTCTGGTGATATTTATTATGTATACTGGCTTCTCTCTTTACCAAGTCCACTTCCTTGCTCACATCCCTGGGAATAAACAACTATTTATGACAAAAAATATTTATCATTCAAACATAAAATATTTTGAAAACAACCCCAAAAAACCCCAATGATGGTAACAACAAAAGATTAAAAAGAAATAGGGAAAAATGTGTGTGTGTGTATAGAGATGAGGATAAATGTTAATTAATTCTCACCCATTTTCGTATTATAGAGGCTAGTTTGTACTAATAGTCATAGAGCATGGTTAGAAAAACTGATCTTGTCATAACTAATATCATCTTAAAAATATGCGTTAACTGGGCTGGCCCCATGGCCTAGTGGTTAAGTTCAGCGTGCTCCACTTTGGTGGCCTGGGTTCGCAGCTTTGGATCCAGGGTGTGGACCTACACCACTTGTCAGCCATGCTGTGGTGGTGACCCACATACAAAATAGAGGAAAATTGGCACAGATGTTAGTTCAGGGCCAATCTTCTTCAGCCAAGAAATTAAAAAAAAATAATGATTAACTAATTCATATTAAGAGTTAACTAGTTGGTTATGCTTTAACATTTTCTACATATGACACAAATCCAATTTAATATGTTTCTTTTGCCCTTGAATTCTCAAACTTTTGTCTGTATCAGTATCACTTGGAAGGCTTGATAAACATAGATTTCTGGGCCTGTCCTCAGAATTTCTGGTTTGGTAGGTCTGAGGTGCAGCCCAAGAATTTGTGTTTGGAAAAAGCTTCCCAGTTATGCTGATGCTGCTGGTCTGGGGACCATGCTTTAAAAACCACTGTCCTATTGTTTCCTTGTAACAAAGGTAACTGAATTTTGTTGTGATAGACCGGTAACTTATTTTGCTCCCAGTGAATCACATTGCCCAGGATCAATTCCCTTCCATGAATGTGGGCTGGGCTTGTGACTTGTTTTAAACAACAGAATGAGGCAGAAATGATGCTCTGCCCGTTCTGGACCTGAGCCGTAAGATGGCCTGGCAGCTTTTCCTTCTGTGCTCTTGGAAACCAGCCACTATATAAGAAGTCTAACTACCCTGAGACCTTCGTGTTTGGGACAGTTCAAGATAAGCACGTGAGAATTAACATGAAAGAGGACGGAGGAACCCAGCCAGCAGAGAGAACTAAGGTCCCAGGCAGACAGCCTCAGCTGGGCTCCCAACAGCCAGCTAGCACCAACTTGTCTTACGAGGGAGGCCATTTTAACCCTGCTGGCCATCAGTCAACACTGGGTAAAGCGGAAAAACAGCCAGGTCAACTGCTGATCATGAGAACTAATAAGCTGTTGTTAAGTTTGGGGATGATTTTTTTAGGCAGCAATAGAAAATGAAAACAAAAATGGGAACCTGGAAGAAGAGTGTAGCTGTAACAAAAAGCTGAATCATGTGACGTTAATTGGTTTTGGGATTAGTTAGTAGACAGAAGTCTGAATGGCCTCAAGGAAACTTTTACCGTAGGCCTGGAAAATAGGGAGCAATTTGCTGTTGGTGGCTGGAGAAAATGGGATTGGCAGAAAAATGAGTGAGATGTCCATCTACGGTAAATTGGATGACGAAAGGGATACTGAATAAAATTGTGGATCTGGCTATGGAGATTTCCAGGCAGAATGTTGAAAGTGCAAATTTACTTTTTCCGATAAAGATAGGAAAAATGAGATATACTAAGAAGGAAATTTTAGTTTTCAAGTAAAATTTTAAAAAATATATAAAGGGGCTGGCCTGGTGGCAAAGCAGTTAAGTGTGCATGTTGCACTTCGTCAGCCTAGAGTTTGCCGGTTTGGATCCTGGATGTGGACATGGCACCGCTTAGCAAGCCATGCTGTGGTAGGCGTCCCACATATAAAGTGGAGGAAGATGGGCACAGATGTTATCTCAGGGCCAGTCTTCCTCAGGAAAAAGAGGAGGATTGGCAGCAGATGTTAGCTCAGGGTTAATCTTCCTCTTCTTCTTCAACAGAAAAAAAAAATATATGTATATATACATATATATAAAGAAGCCAGGATCTGCTTCATTCAAATATAAAACTATTTTTCATTCTCAACTTTTTAAACTGTCAAATAATTCTCAAAATAATAAGTGGCCTGAGGGCAAAGATCAAATCAGATTGCTACCAGTGAAAAGTGGCATCTGGGTTACAGTCAGATCTTAAGACCCTTTGTCCTTCAAAAGATCCTTCAAAAGATTTGAGGTGATGTTTCCCACACCCTCTCTGCTAGACAATATGGTTTCTGAGAATCTTAAGTGTGGACCACATAGAGCTCCTCAGCTAGAGGAAGGACATCTAAGAATGATAAGACATCGTCCCATAGCCGAAATTAGAGAAATTAGAACTTAGAGAAGAGTTTGTTTTGAAGAGATTCGTTGTTGTGAATTTCATCCTATTTTATAGTAATAGGACGAACTCCAGTAAGATTCATTGGAAATCTACAAAGCCTCTAAGATAGTGGTATTAACAGAAGCACTGACAATTTGGATTAAAAATGACAGACACAGGGGCTGGCCCCGTGGCCGAGTGGTTAAGTTCGCGCGCTCCGCTGCAGGCGGCCCAGTGTTTCGTTGGTTCGAATCCTGGGCGCGGACATGGCACTGCTCATCAGACCACGCTGAGGCAGCGTCCCACATGCCACAACTAGAAGGACCCACAACGAAGAATACACAACTATGTACCGGGGGGCTTTGGGGAGAAAAAGGAAAAAATCAAATCTTAAAAAGGACAGACACAGTTCAAAATTAACAGAAACTTTTGGACCCTCAGCTTTCTACTGACAGGAAATAGGTTGAGAAAGCTACTCTTCTATGAATATGGATTATTTCTTATAGAAAAGGAAGGACAGATTAGAAGGTGGAGTCATGGAGGCGCCATTCCAGACCCTAAGTAAGGAATTTTATGTTTACCCTAATAGATTTCAGAATTTCTTTGGACCACTGGTTACTATGTGTCTCCCATATTTCCTATTTTTGAATGAGAGTGTCTATTATGATTTTCCTGTTCTTGGTTTACAATTGTTTGTTGGGGATATGAGGGATGAATAATTTGTCTCATTTGCTCACAGATCTTCAGATCAAGAGGAGTCCTGCCTGATGAATCTTACCTGCCCCTGGATCTGATTTAGGTGAGGAGAATATGGAATTCAAGCCTAAGACTATGCTACAATGAAATGAAGTTTTATGGGTCATAGGAGGGAGTAAATATATTTGCTTGTGGAAAGGACTTGAATTATTGAGGGCAGAGGACAGATAACCTAACATCAAGAAGAGGCCATGTGAGGAAGAACCAAGGCCCTTGCAGACAGTCCCTGACTTTCTAGCTGACAATTGGCATCAACTTGTCAGACAAGTGAGTGAATCATAATGGAAGTAGACCCTCTAGCCCCAGCTGAGCCACCCCAACTAACACCATGTCAAAGACAATTCAGCCCAAATTGCAGAATTAGGAGCGAATAAATTGTTGTTTTAACCCACCATGCTTTATTATACAGCAAGAAATATTTGATCTCTAGCACAAAGGCAGATTAGGGTCCATCACCCCATCCCTTTCCCCCTTGCCATCTGTATTGCAGACAATCTTGCCTCCTAGTATTCCAATTATCTTTTGCACATTTATGAGATAATTTCCAGATAATATCACCAATTTTCTTTATGCATTCATTTTTCCCCCTCTTCTGCTTTTTCTCATCACTTGTGTAACAATTAGTGGGCACATCTACAGTCACTGATTAACTTTTCTCTGCTTCTATGTACTATATCTGATATTTGACACCTAAATCTTATCCTCACAGAAACCGGTGAAATGGATCCTACTGAGAAGTGCTGGAAGCTGGTAGGGATGGAGTTGAGAAACTTCTCAGCCTCTGAGTTCTTTCTGCTTTCTTTCCTAGACTCAAAGCATGAATGGCACCAGGAGTGATTCTGCAGTACTTTTAAGGTAGAAGGACTTCGGATATCTGTCAAACCGTCTCGAGTCCCAGACAATTTGGAATTTATTTTATTCTCCTTACTTTATTTTCAAGTCTATTAAACTTCCAATTCTCTTTTAAGAGCGAGTGGTTGAATCAGTACTATTTTATCTGGGGGCACTAAATTTTACACCAAGACAGGAATTTTGTTTTGAGCAATTGTAAGTTGCTCAAAGGAGCAAGAGAAATTCTTGACCTTTGGAAAATTCCAGAACTAAATTAACATTCTACTTGCCTTCCAAATATGGCTCTATTTTATCTTCTAATGATAAACTTGAATAACTATTCAATATGAGATATATCTGTAGCATTAAAACTCCCTATGCTCTACTAAATTCAGCATCATTCATTCATTCATAAGTTCACTTATCTATCCATCCACCAAATTTATATGCTGCTTCTTTCTGATTAGCTCTATAATAAATATTGAAACAAACACACAAAATATAGAGTAATTTCCTGAGTCTGATGGATTTTTTTATCCATTCAGCTTCAAGAGACCTAGGAGATGTAGATTATTCTTGAACTTTATCACTGTAAATTTACCAGTTACTAAAGAGTTAGAAAAAAAAGAAGCAGACAAGAAAATAGTATTTCTGATGCATTGTAGAGTTCTTTGCAGGTTTGTTTAATTCTCCATGAATGAATAGATGAAATGACTAAGGGTAATATCATCTGGTTGCTCACTCTAAATCCAGGAAGATCAGAGTCTAGGGAAATTGTATTTTCTAGACTGGGACATGTTCTGCTGAGTTCAAGTCTGTTTTTCTTTCTCTCAATCTCACTTAGAGATTTTCAGATCAGTAAATTGTTCTTCTTTAACTAGAAGTCAAGAATAAGAGAAGAAACATGAAAAAGTATCTTTATTAGGGAAGAAAATACAGAGTTCCTCCAGATAAACACATGAACTCATTTTTCTTTTTTAAGCCCAGAAACTACTAAAGAGTTCTTCCCCCTCAATTTACACTAAACTGTCTCTTAGTGACTCTCAAACTAGAAGGCCAAGTAGAAGCTGGGAATGCAAGAAAAAGACAGGGTATTATAGTTGGAGAGGACCCTGTGTGTTATTAATTGTGAGAAATAAATTCTATTTAATGTTTTTAAATGCAAAAGGCAATAGATATATTTTGGTTATGAACTATTATGAACAAACTATCCTAAAACTTAATGGCTTATAAAACCACCACTCTTTTCTCATTTCTCACGATGGCACAGGGGAATGGTATGTGGCAGTGGCAGTATCCAAATGGATTTTCCACTCTCATGCCTCAGATATGTGTGTGGCTCAGAATGGCTCACCTGGGGTCATATGTCTGGGACTTCCCGTTTCTCTTTCAGGTGGGTTTATCAGTTTTTCTCCAGTAGTCTCAGAGTTTCTGCCCCTTTATCTTATCTTTACACATGGACTCAGTATGTAGTCTCTCGAGCAGGGTAGCCATACTTCTTATATGGAAGCTGGGACTCCCAGAAATTCAAACGTAGGAGCTCCTAGGGGCTGGTCCAGTGGCATAGTAGTTAAATTCTCACACTACTTTGGTGGCCTAGGATTTGTGGGTCTGGATCCCAGGTGTGGACCTACACGCTGCTCATCAAGCCATACTGTGGTGGCATCCATGTACAAAATAGAGAAAGATTGGCTCAGGTGTTAGCTCAGGGCCAATCTTCCTCACAAAAAAAAAAAAAAAAAGAGTAAAAGCTGCTAGGCCTCAAATTGGGACAGCATCGCTTCCAGTGTATTCTGTTGGTTAAAGCAAGTTTCAGGCCCAACCCGGATTTAAGGAGAAGGCACTACACAAAAGTGTGAATACCAGAAGGCATGATCTATTGTGGCACGCCAATGTAACAGAATACAAAGTGCAATTTTTAAACTTTTCAACTGAAGTCACAAGTGTAAAAATAAAGTTGTAAAACAATCATTTGGCTCCTGCAAAATATACAAATAGTAAGAAGGGGCGATCACCATATAATATCTGATGCTAGTCCTCCCAAGGATGGACTAAGTAGGAAAAAAGCGCATTGGAGGAGAAAAGACTATTTCAGTTGTCATCCTGAACATTAATTGTCTGGATTGAAATCATCCTTTTCAATATCAGAGAACAAATGAATTTTACCATACTGCTACGAATTATACTCTAGAAAAATCAGCCTTTGAATGTAGAAATAATCTCTATTTCAGCAATGTGAGTGTTCCTGCAAAATTCTTATGCTTGCTGCTGATTTCTCATAAAAAATTCTAGAATAAAGGGGATGCTGTCCTAACTGGATCTCATGTATTTCAGCTGAGGGCTGCCACCTTCCAGGGGAAGACAGATATCTAAAGCAATCTTGTACATCAGAACACTACCATTTACGTCTTTTGTTCTCCTGTTTTCTTATGTATTGCGCAAAGTCCTACCTAAAAATGAATTAAAGGGCAACTGTCAAGATGATAGCTTAAAAATAATCTTTTCTGCATTGCTTCTTTGATGTTCAATTGCATAGTTTTAAAAGAAGACATGTTTAATCATCTCCTTATCCGATTAATTTACATTATTTCATTGTACGATATTAAAAGAATGACAGGGAAATTCATACTTTTAAAAAAATATATTTGTCTATCTATTGCTCTAGCACTAACTCAGTTTTGCAAATTAATCTTGGAAGAGGTAAGAAGGAACATTGCAGAGAAAAAGAAAAGCCTGAACAGACCTTAAGGTTCATTGGGGAATAATTTGTTTTGTTAGTTTTAAACTATACTTCATATATTATTTTAATCTTTCAAATCTGTGCCTAACCTTCCATGTAGTAAATCTTTTCAGATTCTCTCTATAATCCTACTTTCTATTCTTCCATCACATAGAATGGTATGGACTCAACACACATTTTTATGCAGCTCTGCAGCCGTGCATGAGATGAAATATTTGAATAGCAACTGATGCTGTGTGTGCTTTTCACCCCAGGAGATTTCTTTCAAGAACAAGCGGTGGCCGAGATGACTCTCAGTCTCTATCAGTATTCACACAGCTTTTATTTGTGGCTTCATTCTAATCCTCAAGTCTAAGAATTGGAGCCCTAAACATGCACTCTTTGTTTACATTTCACAAAATGGCCAAGGAAGAGGAAAAGAGCAAAAGAAGAGTGTAGAAATAAGATTTTTAAATATCATTGCTTCCCTGGTGTGAAGAAATTAGATGTGAAACCCTAGGCGAAATTAACATGTACGTGCACGTGTGTGAGTGCATGTGCGTGTAAGTAGCAACCTCTTTGTTGCATAACAATCAATTTCATTCTCAGAAAAGCTTACAGGCAAAAATTCCTATTCTACTTTGATACTTTAATGAGCTAATTCTTTTGAGTTTGTGGCCTTGGTGTGTATGGGTCTATGTCCTCATGATCATTTCTTATTAACGGGAATCTATTTGATTATGTTTCTTTGTTAATAAGGTGACTTTATTATTTGCCTGAAAACCACAAGATGTCACAACCACCTTCCCCACCCCCAACCCCCTTACCACCAGTTTCTCTGCACTCCTCTGAATAATCTAAAGCCCTATTCAGCTTGCAGCCAGATGTGAACAATCATTGCTTGACACGGGGTACAAATAACACCTACTCCAGCCATTACTCTTAAATTGGAGCTCTGCCCTTGATGGAGGCCGGAGATTGCTCTGGCTTTTGTAACTTGCACATGAACAGTAGTAGGCACAGAGTGAGAAGGAGGCCGGGATATTTAGGTTGCATGCTGGAGGCAGATCTGGACTTCTCTCAGATGAGAGGGGTCTGTTTTAAAGCGAAGTGAGGTCATAGGTCACCATTCAACCTGAAGAGCTAAGTGGACTAATGTGTTGGGCAGACACAGACCCGTTAAACCAAACCAAACCAAACCAAACACAAGATGAGAGAGAGTCCAAGTCAACTTTGAAACCTAAATGACCATTTGTTCTCATTCTTCAAAACTTTTCAGGGGGCTTCTAAACCATCCAAGGCTAAAACTGTTTATGGCTCACAGTGTTCGAGAAAATGGAGTTCTGACATCTGACCTTGTGTTAACCAGAGAGACAGAGCAGAAGGAAAGAGTCTGGCCAGGAAAAGCACTATTTCCTTAGCAAGCTGCTCTATTTGATGGTCGTGGTCAGAATTTACCTAGATCCTGAGATTGTGCTTGAAAAATAAAACTAACAACTCTTTTTAATTTCAAGTAGTATCAATTGGCTTGTTTTTGCTGCCTGAGTCTCTCTCTTTTTTAAGTTAGGCTGCAGTCATTTCTTCCTCCTGGATGTCTAGGATTTGTTGTGAAGAATAATAGCACGTTCCATCTGCAGAGAAGGCTCCTGTGGAGTTCATGTTCAAGTCTAAGGCATTAGTTATAAAAATCAGGAATACAGGTAGTCTTCCTTAATGCTTTCTTCCTGAATTATTTCTATTTTATTTACAGTTGCATTTTTCTTAAACATTGTTTCTGACAAAAGTGAGATTGCCCTCTCTTTATAATCTTTGTATTGAATTGATCCTCTCAGAAAAAAACATGAAATGATTGCACCCAACAGGGTAAAAATAAACATGGTCCACAAATTGTGATCAATACCAGTGAAGTTCATGGTTCAATGATTAGAAAAGCAAAGCAAAGGAGGGGCATAATACATTCTTTAGAAGAAACCTAGATTACTTAAGAAGGCATAAAATGCATAGAAATTTTCTCGTGTTAAGAATCATTTAGTGGAGCGACAAGAACTCTCATACATTGCTGGTGGGAGAGTAAATTGGTACAGCCACTTCAGAAAACAGTTTGGCAGTTTCTTCCAAAACTAAACATACTCTTACCTTACAATCCAGCAATCACGCTCCTTGATATTTACCCAAAGGAGTTGAAAACTTGTGTCCACGCAAAAACCTGTACGCAGATGCTTATAGCAGCTTTATTCATAATTCCTAAAACCTAGAAGGAACCAAGACATCCTTTAGTAGGTGAATGGAGAAATAAACTGTGGTACATCCGGATAATGGAATATTATTCAGTGCTAAAAAGAAATGAGCTATCAAACTATGAAAAGACGTGGAAGAATCTTAAATGCATCTTACTAAGTGAAAGAAACCAAC